ACTGTTTCGGTGACCACATCTGTTAAGGGGCCACCATCCATGTACTCCATAACCACCCAGAGCTGATCCTCTGGCTCGAGCAGGTAGGCGTCCAGGAAATTGACCAGATTCTTGTGATTGAAGTCCTTGAGCACACGTATTTCGGTTAATATGAGATCCTTGGAGGATTGATTTTTCATTTCAATTGTTTTAATGGCCACCTGGGTTTCCGTTTGCTTATCGCCAGCTATAAACACAATGCCCGATGCACCCTTGCCCACTTCTTGGCTGGTTTTGTATCGTTCACGCGGATCCTCTGGATTGCATATGGCTCGCAGCTCATCATAGATCTCTGCATCCGTTTTCTGGGACCTCTTCTCCTTGGAACGACGCAGAATTGTTTCCTCGGGCGCATCGGCATCGATGCCACCCTCTTGGCTCCCACTACCCGCGGCAGCAGGCTTGATGATTATGGTATCAGTGTTGATCTTGCTCTGCAGCTCTCCGTCCTGTCCACGCAGATCACGTGATAATTTGTGCTGTATGATGCTTGCGGGTTTGGGCTTAATTTGTGGCTTGGGCGGCAGTTGATGAGGCGATTTCTTAGGCGGCACAGGCGGCGGCTCCAGTCCGCTGTTCGCCTTAATTGGCTTGAGTGTCTCACGGCCCAAATTCGATTCCAGCTCTTTGATCACTTCATTGAGTGCATCCAGCGGTATGACTGACTGTTGACTGCTATCGTTTAAACTGCTGCTGTTGCTATTCGCCGCAGAGCTGCCGCAGCCACTGCTACTGCTCTCGGTAGCCGTTGAGCTGCCGCTGCCATCGTCGTCAGATTTATCGATATCCTGTGATTTGTGCTTGTTCTTGTAATTGACATAGTTATCAATCTCTTTGGACTCTTCGTGTATGACATCCTCCGTTATAAACGGCTTGAACACCTCCTGCTCCTTCTTTTTGATTGAGTAATTGTAATATTTGACTGCATGGTATGCGGCATCTGGATTTTTGTCCTGTTCGTCGCGTGTAATTTGTGTATTCATCAGGCGCACCCATGGCGTGGGCAGACCCTCCAGGTCGCCTGTCTCCTGGTTGCGTGAGACATGAAAATGCCTCTGGAAATTTGTCGGGGCACCAATCTCGGAGATTTGCTCCTTCTTCTTGAACCATTTGGCAAAACTCATGTTTATATATTTCTTGTTTCTATCTCTCTCACTCTTTTTCTTAATCTCTATATTCTTTGCGTTCAGCAACGCTGGAAATTTCTTTAAAATGCTTGGGAAATTCTATTGAAGCGCGTTTTGTTGTTTTGTTGCCGTAGGTAGCGCTCTAGCGCCTTCTCACTTGCACTCGCACAACTCACTGGACAGTCACACTCACAGGGCCAGCCGTGAGTCATAAACAAGCACACACACGCGCACCCGTCGTGCTTGTATGTGTATATTTGTGTACGTATGTATATGTTTGTGTGCGTGTCTATGTTCGTTCGCTTATCTCTAGTTAAGTTAGCTTAAGCTTTTGTAGACAGTAGACGTAAAAAACCCCACTTTGCCATTTTTGTACGCTGCCTTGTAGAATTTGCACTTTTATTGCCTACACACAGAACTACTTTTTAATTAAATGCAGTAGCCACAACTTTTTTCTTTACTTTTTCAATTACAACACACACGAACGCACGCCCGCACACACACTCATTTTCACAGATTCTGGAGCGAGACAACGGGCACAAAAGGAGTGGCCGCACCAGCGTCTTGTTCTTGCCTTCTTGTTGTTGTTATATGCTTGTGCCGCAAATACTACACTATGTTTGTCTTATCCAGTCCGTTGTGCCATTTTTATTTGTTTGGACACAAACACATATATTTATTTTTTTGCTGCAGTGGAAGGTCTGCAATTCACAACTTCTTTTAATTTTTCACCTTTACTGCAAGTCGCGCTGCAATCGGCCTTACTGCTGTCGCACTCTCACGCACACGAACAAGTGACTATGTGACCGTAGAGGGAAAACGCAAAAACATTCGACCAACTTAAAAAAAATACTAAACTGGATAAATAATAGAAATAAATATTGAAGTATTGTTTTTAATTTAAAAATCACTTATACCATTAAGATTTTTTTTTTCTAATGTATATTGATAGATTTATATATATTTAAGATTTAAAAAATTGCGCATATCTGAATACGTAAATATTTATCAAGAGGTTCAAGAAAATTGTTGTTGACAATTGTAGTTTAATTGATCTATTTAATATTTTTGTCCAAGTTATTAAACAATAACCAATCTTTAATAACCATGTCTATTTTATTTTGCAGTGAATTCGTACAAAATATTCAATATTACAAAAAAAAAAAAAAGAAAAAAAAATCTACTGAAAGATATTCATACCACTAACCAGGGAACACATAGACCGGACACGTAGTGCAAAGCGTTTTGCACACT